CATTGTTGCAATGGTTCCACCTGTATCCCTATTAAAACATTTTTTCCCCTTCCCCTCCACAAATTATACCAATATCAAATACAGTGGAAACAGGAGTTATACTGTGGGGGAGGGACATAAAAAGCAACAAAGAAATATTTTAGAAACAATAGCAAGAAAGAAAAAAACATTTGCGTCCTTATCTTGGGGTTCATTTCGCCTAACATCATCTTATCTGACCTTTTCAGCTTGTCTCAGACATATACTAGTTATTGCAAATAAGGGAAACCATGGACCTATGTTTCTTTGGTCCTGGCTTACTTCACTTAGATGGATTTTTGACGGAGCAAGGCAGCATCCTCTTGTAATAGGAGGAAATAAGGATTAATGAAGATGAAAGTGTTTTTCTGGATCCAGCAATGGAAAGATTAGCTTTTCTTATTAAAAGTGAGTCAGCCATGGTATTCACTAGAGAGAATAAGATATAAAATAAGATTCTAATTGTTCATGCAAGAAATTAAGAACCTAGAAAGCTAAAGTCCTTATTATTTACTATTAACAAGCAGTGGAGATAACTGCAGGCTAACAAGGGAGAAAACTTATAAAATGACAGCATCAGTGAACTTCCTTGTTTATATAACAATAGCTACTAAAAATCCATACAAAGAGATACATGCAAAGACATTAAAGATAAATAACTACTGAATTCTTTAAACTACTCAAGTAACAGAGAGAAAAGTAGAAAAACAAAAACAACCCCTCTTTATGGTATTTTCACAATTAAAAAAATAAAAAAGAAAACAAATGGGCGAAGAATAAACCAAAACAGAAAGTAAAGTGGCACAATTAGATCTTAACATATCAAAAATTACTTTAAACACAAATCTTTGAGTCAAAATCCAACTGGAAGAGTAGATAAAGAGATGACTTAACTATTTTTACTGTCTATAAGAAACTCACTTCAAGTATAACAACACAGGTAGGTGAGAAGTAAAAGACTGAAGAAAAGGCACTTTATACCAGCATTCATCACAAGAGAATAATATCTATCCTAGAAAAAATCAGTTTTCAGAATAAAGAAAATGACAAGAAATAGACTGGGATATTTCATAAACAATTTACCAAGACACAGAAATCCTAAATACATATGCACAGAATAATAGAGCTGTAACAACTGCTGGAATAGAGCGGTGAAAAGAAATAGAAATCCACAACTAATTTGAGACTTCAAAAAAACACTCTCTAAACAATTGATAGAGTTAACTACACAGAAATTCAGAAAATACATACAAGAATTCAACAACAGCAAAAGGATATAATTAAACTTTATGTAATGTTTCCCCTACCACAGTGGAATTCACATTATTTCAGGTACTCATAAAATACATGCCAATACGGATCACATCTTGGGCCATAAAATTAACTCATCAAGTTTAAATGAATTGAAATTACACAGGGAATATTCTCTTACTATGCACAAAACTAAACTAGAAACCAATAAAAGTGAGATTAAAGTAGATCTCTGAACAATATACTTCAAAATAATCCACAAGTCAAAGAAGTCTCATTGAACTGAATGTCAATGAAAAGATATCATATTGAGATTTGTGGGGCAAAGGAAAGTGAAATATAGTACTAAATGCTTATATTATAAATGAGGGCAAGTCTTAAATCATTAATCTAAGTTTCCTCAATAAACTAGAAAAAGAGGAAAACACGTACCCAATAAAATAGAAAAAATGAGCAAAAGATGTACTTGAAGCAAGCATTATAAGGGAAATAATAAATATTCTGAGGAAAATAATAAAAACAAATCAAAGAAACTGAAAATGGAGAAACTAAATGGAGAATATGAATGAACAAAACAAAAAGATAGTTCAAAAATGGATAAATCTCTAGTAGGGTTGACAAAATGAAATAAAGATAAGAAGAAAGAAAATGATGAGAATAAGGAACGAAACAGGGGCTGTTACTATTAATGCTGCATGCATCAGAAGGACAATAAAGGATACTACTGTACATATAAACATGAGAACCTAAATGATATGGGTAGAATACTTACTTTGCAAGTGCATATTACGACAACTTACCCAGTTTGAAATAGATAATCAGAGTAGTACTCTGACTATTAAGGAAAACAGAATTCATAACCAGGCCATATGGTTTCACTGGAGAATTCTACCAAGGAAGATTAACATCAATTTTTACACAACCTCTTTAGGAAAATAGATGAGCATAGAATATGTTCTAATTCTTTTTTTGTTCTATCTCTCTCTCTCTCTCTCTCTCTTTTTGCATGGGTACTGGGGCTTAAATTCTTGACACTGAGCTTGCTTTTTCTTTTTCTTACCACTGATACTCTACCATTTGAGCCACACCTCTACTTCTGGCCTTTTGCTAGTTGATTGGAGATAAAGAGTATTGAGGATATGTCTATACAGGCTGGCTTCCAATTGTAGTTTTCAGTGTTGTAAGCCACTGGTGTCAGCCTGATTCCCTTTTATTTTCATGAATTTGCATTTAATATGTTAAATATATGTTTAAATAACCTACTTATGAATGAATCTGAGGGAAATAAAACTCATAAATACCATGAAAATTTCTCTTTGTAACTGATTCCTTTTTTAAGGCTAAGATTATCCTGATACAAAAGCTGAACTGATACAGAACAAAAGAGAAAACTGCAGGCCAGCATCCCCCATGGACACAAAAAGACAAATGAACAGCACAACTGGAGTTCTCTTACATTGTTGGTGTTAGTATCAACAGGCAAAAACTATTTCAGAAAATAGTTTAAGATCATCTACTCTGCTTATGCCTAGAAACATCTTTAAGATAAATTTCCAATCATTTCACACTACCATAGAAATGAGCATGTATTGTGTGTGTGTGTGTGTGTGCGTGCGCGCACGTGCGCTACACATATGTACAGGCTACATTATGGAAAAATCTTACTTTGGTTTGAAGGAGAAAAATGTTATATAATAATCCTTTTAAAAAAGTAGGGAAAGGGCTGGGAAGGTGGCTCAGTGGTAGAGTGCTTGCCTCCCATGCATGAGGCCCTGGGTTCGATTCCTCAGCACCACATAAGCAGAAAAAGCCAGAAGTTGCATTGTGGCTCTAGTGATAGAGCACTAGCCTTGAGTTGAAAAGCTGAGGGACAGCACCCACGCCCAGAGTTCAAGCCCCATAACTGACAAAAAAAAGGAAATTATGACTTTATGATCAGGCCAGGGCACAATTATTTGCCAAAGAAGGACCCTTTAATAGAATTAGTATTGAAGAATTAAGCTACTATATTCAAAACCACTGTTTAGACTCTTAATTTTGAAACAAGGATTACAGCATAAATATCATTAATTCTGTCAGTTCCTTTTGTTTCAAAAATAAGAAGACATATACACATAGAGATTAAGTGTAAGAGTAAAGGACCTGAACTGTATATTCCCAATTTGTAATGGCTACAGATTTGAAGGGAGTAACTAATAAAGCAAACAACCAACTGAAAGTCCTTATTGCTTTAGAGAATATGTGTTGTACATTATCGATAATGAACCTTTTAGATTGAGTTGTTATTGGAAGTAGCTCATGAAGACATGTTTGCTGAATGAAATAGTCTGTAAATCCTTTTTTTCTAATATATCACTCATATTTGACACAATTAAATCTACCAGTGTAACTATCTGAGCCTCTCAATAGTATAAAACACAGAGAAATAAAATTATTCACTTTTCATCATATAAACGAGGAAATAAAACCAGAAGGGAAGTTGTTTTACCTTTCTGTGCTTGCTGAGTCGTGGCTATCTAACTTCCTGATAAGGATGTTTAGAAACAAAAGAACTGAAAACCCTCTGGGTTTTCTCACCTTGCCAATCTAGTTTCTAGAATCCCCCAACTCTTCTTACAGCATGACATGGTACCTCTGTTTCTCTCACAAGGAGAGGACCCCTTCTGTGACCCCACTACCATGTTCTGCTAACACACATCTCCTGAAAAATTTCCTTTAGCTTTTATTTCACCTCTGCTCACCCCTCAACAATCATTTGTATTTGCATGTCTAGAGAGAAAATAACCTATGCAGCATATCATGATACCTTTGTATTAAGTTTACAATTCCAAAATCAGATAAGCGTAATATGTATTTTGAATAATTTGTAAAATGACACCCCAACCCCCTCTGTATTGTCTTTCTACTTACTCTGTTTATTTAAATTTGAAAGATATAATACAGAGGATGAGAAAAAGGAAAGAGAAATGTAGGATAATCTGTCTTTCGTGTTTTAAACAAAAACCTTTCCTGAAATGCAGAAGGGAGAGAGTGATGAATGTTAAGTGCATATTTTTCCACCTTAACTGACTGATCAGAAGAGTATTTATAACCCATGACTGATGTCTGGAGATGATAAATCAACACAAGGGAGAATATTTCAAGCACATTTATCATTTAGGACAAACAGCTCTGACTAAGCATGATTATTTTTTATTCATCATTTTAGCTCACCTCTACATTTTATCCTTCTTAGTGTTAATGATATCTGTATAAAGCTCCTCAATATTTAATGCTACAGCTTACCTACTGCATGCTGATGAGGTTAAGGTCATGTTTGATTTCTAAAGGCCATTTTGCAAGCCAGTGAGTGAGCGAGCAAGTGAGCAGGAGAGAAAGAGAGAGTAAGAGAAAGAGCAGGAGAGAGAGAGAGAGAAAGAGAGAAAGATGGAGAAAGAGTATCTCTATTTACCAAGGAAGCCTCATCCTAGTGATCTTAGTTAGCTTCCTTATAAATACCATTGTTGATTTCCATGTCATTAAAAATAATCACAGACTTACAGCTTTAAAGGAAACAGTAGGATATATCAGTGTACAGGTCCAACTTTATAGAAAAATCAATTAGAAGAACCAAGTCTAGTTTCATAGGGCAACACAATTGGAAGAGTCCACCAGCCATACCCAGTCCTGTCCAACAAGTCAATGGGATCTGCACCTCATGCAAAGGAGAGCCAGATGTAAGAAAATCTTACCTGTTCACTCTCTTCTTCATCACTACTTAGCTTAAGATCATCTTCTAGCATACTGAAAGAAGGAAAACAGAGGTACATATTGTTAGCAGATTCAAAGTAATTCCACTTCAAAAATAACCACTTTTTTTTTTTGGTCGGTCATGGGGCTTGAACTCTGGGTTGGGCACTGTCCCTGCACTCTTCAGCTCAAGGTGAGTGCTCTACTGCTTGAGCCACAGCGCCACTTCAGGTTTTCTAGTTGTTTATTGGAGATAAGAGTCTCAAGGACTTTCCTGCCTAGGCTGGCTTTGAACAGCGATCCTTAGATCTCAGCCTCCTGAGTAGTTAGGATTACAGATATGAGCCACCGGCACCCGGCTCAAAAAACCCACTTTTATAGCACCAACATTTCAGTGATAAGTTTATTTGATTTCCTATTTTTTTTCTTTCCCTCTTTTAGGTGTTTTTCTTTTAATGTACTTAGAAAACAATAGATGTTTGGATCATGAAAATTAATGCTCAGTACCATCTTAGGATGCAATAGGGAACCCCCAGAACATGCTTTTATAGATTGGAGGAGGGTCTTTTCAGTGGGACATTTTAATCAATTAATTGTTTCAAGTTTTCCATGTTCCAGAGCCTGTCTAGGGGAAAGTCATAGCAAAGAAAGTAACGGGACAAGCAGAACTCTTCTGAGAATCATGAAGTGAGGGATAAGCTGTGAGCAATGATAGCTGCTTGGTCTTTCATCAGTGTAAGGGCTGGAGAGGGCTTTTGCCTGAAGATCGGTTGAGTGGAGCCCACCTATGACACTAGGAGGGTAGGTCTAAAGTGACTAAGGCCCACTATCCACCCACCATGAAGTTTCTTGGATAAGTCCTGATAGAGACAGTGAGTTCACAAAAGCTAAGAGTAAAACAAAGAAAGGCTTCAGATCTTACAACTTCTGATGAGGAAAACTGTTGAGTACTTCTTCATAGAATAGCACATTAAACGAAATCTAGTGCAGAGGTATATTCTATAAAAATATTCCATACCAGCCATACTGCTAGGAGAAGCAGGGGTAGGTCTACTTTGCATGGCCTTCTGCTCCCAACATGAATCTGAAGGCTGCTGAGACCTTGTGCTTAAAAATCTCACTATCCACCTCACAGTTAGCTTCCAAGGCCTATCCTTAGTAGATGCCTCAGAGTATTTTGTGGTTCAAGTGGCTTTTGGGGTTAACTGGGGGTAATGAGCAAGCAGGGCTGAGCAGAGACCTAGAAGCACGTTACTTAGCACCCAACCTGCCTGCCCTATCCTCATTTCCCTAGTTGTTAAGTGAAAGTCTTACTGGACAGCCTTGAAGGGTTAATCCTGCTTTAAATTCTGCAAGTCCACAAAATAAATTTTCTCCTCTCCTCTTCTGCTTGTGGCTGACAATACAACGAAGACATTCCTAAGTCATTCTTGGCTTGCAACTGAAGCCATTACCATTAGGACACTAAGTCTGCTTCCTCATAGGGTATTACTATCCTTTCAGTATGGATAAGTATCATATGCTTTATTCTTTAAACCCCAAGAAAACACTGGCGGCAGCAGCAGCAGCAGCAGCAGAGACTGCAGAGCCTTGACTCCATTACTCTGCACATCTGGCAGGTCATTCATTTCCTTCACCTCACAAGCATACACACTGGCTTCAAACAGAAGAAACATTTTGGTGATTTATTAGAGCACTGTTTGATATAACACAGGGGAGAAGGCTGGGTTTTCTTTGCCCTTGAGTGCTGAGTGACAAGCACAGTGACAGCACTAAGGACAATGCCAGGTTGTTGGCTGGGCTGAGGTATACCTTTCTGATAACAAAAGATCAGAGAAGGATACAATTTCCTCCCTCCATTCTTCATGCCTTTTGAAAGGTAGTCTATCACTGCAATTGTTTTAATCTCAAGGATGTCCAGAAAGTACTGAGTGTTCTCAGTGTGAGTGGTCTAGAGTAGGGGAGGGGAGGGAGAAGGATACACACACACACACACACACTCTCACACACACACACACACACACTCACTCACCTCAAATAACCCCTATAGTCAGAAGGAAATTCTGTCAAGGATGATGGGGAATTTTAGTCTTTACATGGATATAGTATATACAGACTTCAAATTGAAGACCACTGTTAGACACAGCAAGAAACTCCAACACATCTTAAGGTAAATGTGCTACTACAGCTTGAATGTTCAATGTGTCTCTCCAAAGTTCATTTTTTTGGGAATCGCTGAAGTCATATGTTGACGATATTAGGAGACGAGAATCTTTTTGAGGTGATTGTTAGCCAATGGATCCAAGGGGGTGGGACCCATGATAGAGACAATAGCTTTCATGTTTGCTTGGTCTTACTATGATGCAGCTGGAGGCTCTCACCAAATGCCAGAATCATGCTCTTGGATTTCCCAGCTTTCAGAAGCACGAGCTAAACTAACCGGTTTGAATCTCATAGTCCTCCTCTCATCCCCAGATTTTGGACATTTGTCATTTCTATAATTGGACTCATTTACCTTTATTAGAAGAGAAGGAGCTAAGAATCTACCTTGCTTTATGAATAATTATTACTCTTCATTGAACTGTCATGTTAAAAATGAATTTATGTTATTTCTGGCAGAGTTCTAAAAATAAAAGATCCTATGTCCATATTCTGATGTATATATTCTGATATATTCTTGTACTTTATAAAAGTTTTTTTTTTAGTTCACTGTTTTGGAAGTTGAAATGTTTCCAAATAACTTTGCAGGTGTAAAGACCACAGGCTGGATTGCATGTGAGAGCTGGGGTTTGGCTTCAGCTCAGAGACAAAGCTGCAGCTAATCATCTCTGCTCTTAGGAACATTTATTGTTGGAGAAATGGTGAAAACAGAATAGTTTCTAGCAAAGAGGAAGGATACCCTGGGGCAAATGGGACAGTTAGGAACAGTGGTAGTGTGAGTACTCTCAGTGCCGGCAATGAATTGAGCTTTCTTAGGGAAAAATGAACTAGGTTTAAGACAGACATTACAACTCTTATTGTCTTTCAGAGAAAAATGTAATCCTAGGATTATTATTACCCAAATATGAAATGACAGACGTGGAATAGACAGTTACAGCCATATTGCATTCCACTCTCCTGAGTAGGTACACAATGTGAACATAAATGTCATACATAGATACATGCCAGAATAACTGAGGTTCAATCTCTGATGCCACCTAGAAAGAACCTCAGCTGCTCTGGGCTCTGATGGTTACCAGTAGATCCTTTTCTCTCAGCTTGTGAAGTTCAACATTTATTCCCTTTAACAACACTCAAGCCATGGCCTTCACACAGCCTCCAATTCTTAATGCTAAATATTTCAGAGTAGTCTCTTAGAGAATCCAAAGAGGACCCAATGTTTTGACATCATAGAGGAACAATGAAACATAGTCATAGAAGAGAAAAAGTATGACACCCATAAGACCCCAAGATATGTGTCCACCTGGTGTATATGATTGTAGATTATGGCCAGTTCAATGTGAACACAAGTGTCACTCTGGTAGTTGAGGCCTTGATTCACTCTCAATCCCTGAAGAACATTTTTATTTGAATATTTTTATTAACCAACTGGCCAGCAAATGAAGAAGTAGCAATAATTAATAATAAAAGGATGACAATTTGAAATAATTTGTCATCAATAAGTGAACCATATATAGTCACCTATTTTTAATATAAAATTAAGAAACGCTATAGGTGTGTAAATTATCTTTCATAATCTTATTTAAGGAAAACAAAAAGTCAATTTAGAAAGTAATCAAACATCGATTGTGAAAGACATGTTGATGTTATATTTATTGCCCTTAAAACAGTACAGAGGGGTTACAGTTACATAAGTAAGGTAGTAAGTACATTTCTTGTCAAACTTGTTACCCCTTCCCTCATTTTTCTCCTACTTTCCCTCCCCTCACACCCCGCTCCCAAGTTGCACAGATTATTTCCAACATATTGTCTTGGGAATATCACTGTTGCATTGGTTCCCCCTTGTTCTTTGTCTCACCATTCTGTTGTTCCCCTTCCCATCCCTAATTCAAATTAATGTATATACCAAAATCAAATACAGTGACATAGGAGGAAGAATATACAAAAGAAACAAAAAATATCACATAGTACATTAAAAACAACAACAATGAAGAAAAACCTCTTGTGTCCTTGTCTTGGAGTTCATTTCATTTAGTGTCATCTTATATGGTCATCTGTATGTAGCTATTGAGCTGTTCTGCTCATCTGCTAGGATTATCCTAGATGTATACTAATTATTACAAATAAGAGAAACTATGGGACCTATGTTTCTTTGGGTCTGGCTTACTTCATTTAATATGATTTTTTTTTTGTCAGTCATGAGGCTTGAACTCTGGGCCTGGGAGCTGTCCCTCAGCTCTTCAGATCAAGGCTCCACAGAGCCACTTCCAGTTTTCTAGTGGTTTATTGGAGATAAGAGTCTCACAGACTTTCCTGCCAGGGCTGGCTTTGAACCGTGATCCTTAGATCTCAGCCTCCTGAGTAGCTAGGATTACAGGCATGAGCCATTGGAGCCCGGCTTAATGATTTTTTCCAAGACTTTCCATTTCCTTACAAATGGAGCAGTGTCATTCTTTCTGATGGAGGAATAGAATTGTATATATGAATGGATCAAGAAAATGTGGTATATGTGTGTGTGTGAACATTTTTATCATTTGTGTAATCCCAAAAGCAGACAGATTGGCCCGGATATATTAAATAACAAACAAAACATTAAGTCAGGAATAAAGAGAAATCACAAATTGAGTGTTGGTTAGACCCCTGGCAGTGGTATGGATCTCCAATTGTGTGTTTGAAAAAGGAAGACAAAGATTAAGGTTGTACAGTGTAAAGCACAGAGTAGGTCATTTGCATGTAAGTACAGAGCCTGGGCTTTGGCATCATACTTGGCTCACATGGGGATACACACAGCCCTATATTCTTAGCACCTCCAGGCCTTTCTCCACTCATGATATCTACCCACCCAGAGCTCCTCCTTCGTGTTCCCTGACCCTCTTTCTTACAGTTTGGATAGA